GGGGGCTGGGCTCCACCCCTTCAGATTTATGCCGAGTCAGAGAGAGAGCTGCCCCTCACCCAGCCAGTGTCTCTGCAGCACTGGGCACCGGGGTGTGTCTGCCTGCCTCGCCCATCATTTGAGGGGAATCCCTTGCCATTGCAGACATGGTAACTGCCCCGCCCCGGTGGCAACGGAACCAAAAAATTACTGTAATGTTCATGCACCACAGCCTTTATAAGACTATAGTAATGTAGATATCATGTCTCACAATCAGAATGAGTTAAATCCACGGTTATTCTCATTGTGTGAGACATTCATTCATTGTTTGGGAGCCAGAGAAAAAGCAAGGATTTAGTCTCTGTTTCAACTGTAATTTACAGGTTCTACAAAAATGTAAAATGATCTGTCCTCCAATGTCTTTCCAAATAACATTTTGTAGGGGATTTTTGAGAGTAGCCTTTGTTTCTGCTTGTCCTCTTTCCGTCTGTCTTGTGCGGGTATGAGCGATCAGTAACCGATCAGTGATGCAGACCCAGTTGCCTTTGCTTGCGCAAGATTTGGAGCACAGAAACATACAGCCATGTAATCTCTATAAGTGAATATATTCTACTGATGTGCTCTAAGAAATGTGTATTGAACCCGGTTCTGACTAATTGAGACCTCTTTTACAAATGAATTCCTCAGAGTCAATGTCCACAGAGACTTCAGTCTGTAAATGTAGCTCAATACAAATAACTGCTAAAACACTGTTACAAATGTACACAGAATTAGGTTACGCAAAGTAACTACGGGTTGGATTTCAGTTGGAGTTCATATCCTCTGTCTCTCTTTAGCTTTATTAAACTAGACAGGTCATACGTAACTGTTGAATGTAACATTAGCACAAGTCACATTATGTACATGGAAAGATTGGCTCTCATTTGATCCTGGTTAATTAAGGTTCAGGAAACCATTTTTGATGATGCATGCTTCTCCATTCAGATCAAGACACACAGATAGATTTGACCTATTTCACTCCTTTCGCTTCAAAGCGGTGTTAAAGATCACAGCATTTAGCATCCAAGATCCCTAAGTAACGGAATGGAATTATTGAATGTATTCGCTAATTTGTGAATCAGGGTCTTTTAATTTGTCGCAGCTCATTTTGATGACATGCTAAAAGGCTAACTAGGACTAATTTAACCATGTGACCATAGCCAGCATAATGTGCTGATTTGACACAATTGTTGTAAATGAGCTGTGACACACACACACACATACGCTATCACACACACAAACACACACCCTATTGTAGAGCGTCTAAGGAAGTGCATGGCACAGAGCGTCAGGGCTTCCATCACACTTAATGAACTGAATGCATTATTCTGTCATGGAAGTACGTTCAATGTGTTTACAGATGCATTTTGTTGCAGCTGCTCCATACATTGGATGTGTGTGTCCAATATGAATTGACAATACTATATATAGTATTTCTTGTTGGATTAAAAGAAGAACAATTTGAAGACACACATGTCTGTTTAGCTGTACATTTCAGTGTAAAACAGAATAGCTGATAATCAAACTGCCTTCATTAGAATCATTTTAAGATAAAAAATAAAAATAATAAAAACATTTATTTGCTAATGTGCTACCATGCAGCCTTTAAAACCAGAAAAAGACAAATATATATGAGACGATATCATGTCTCATATGACAATATTGATATATTGCCCACCCATAGCCAGTCCATCGTTATTGGACTTTACTACCCATATACTGTATGCCACAATATACTTAAATAAACCAAACAATATGTTAGTTTCTTAGAAGTTACATTTTACGTAACACCACCACTGCTACGCTGAGGTCTGACACTGCAGCATTTGATTTGTCTGTTGCTATGGGAAACAACATAAGTTGGAGGAAAAACAGGGACTTGATCCACAATATTATTCATCCAATGTTATTCTCACTGATTAAATTAAACTCCTTGGGCTACTTGTGTATTATTTTTGCTAGGGGACAAATTTTAAATCGAACATAATGCTGCATTTAGGAGTGATTTCTATAGGAGTGGGTGTGAGTAGGATGGTGAAGGTTGATGGGAGAGATATCTTCAACATCAGATAAGATTTATTGTTTGAAATGTAACCGTAATGCAAGATGTAGAATAAGGTTTTTGAATTGGACACTATGATGAGCCTCATTTTAGATAATGATTGAGCAGGAAATTAGGTTCTAGTCACCATTTCCTGTTTGATCTGCTTCCCCGATTAGGAATTTTCTCCAGGGGGCACTGAAAGCTGCAAAGTTTAGCTAATTTATTAAGTATGAACATACTTCAAAACCTTATTCCAATTTGAATGAGTTCAGCAAATGTCATCTCAGGACATTTCAGGATGTCCTGAAATGAATGTTGACTCAGTGGTGAGTCATAAGGCACTACGAGAAACGCCCACCTTTCCCACCACACAACAGACACTGTAATCACTTTCATTTTACAATGCCTTTCTTACATTTGCATCAAGATATACAAAATTGAACCGAGTTATATTCCCTACAGCAGTAAGTTATAATCTTTTAGCATCACTGTGTTAGGATGATGTCTATTTTCTTTTGCTTAGTCACTGTCAACGAGTGCAGGGACATAAATGCTAGCAGCATCCTGAATAACATTGACACATCTATCCTGACTTGAAGTTGTAATATAGTACAGAAGAAAGGAGGCAGCTAAAAAAGGAATACATAGAGAGTATTTGTCTGTTCCAGCCCAGGCAGTGTGAAAACAGTGATGATTGGTTTTAGGATATTTACATTACTTTCATTTGTTGTCTCCAAAAAAAGCCATATTAATTTTAGCAAATTACTCAAAACAATATTTCTCAAACCAAAAGAAAGAGAATGCCCCTGAATGAGGTAACATAATTTATTACAGACCTGGAAAGTATGATGCGAGTGATTTCAAAAGGGTAGGGATAGCTGGGAGATTACCAACCCTACAAAGCGCAAGTGTGAAACATCCGCATGAGTCCCTAAGACCGACTATGACCAAGTATTACTAATGCAATTGCACAATTATCTCAGCACTGTCATCATTCATTTTTATTCGCTTAATGTGACTTGTGACTCCTAGTAACTGTATAGCAGGTAACAATTACTAATGCTGTCATACAATTCAATGGTATACAAATAACAGTTATACCTCCTTTCAGAAAAAGGAAGGACAGACTTTTCTGTCACCTTTTGGTCACAACAGTTTCCTGTTTATAATGACAGCAGAGAGCTACAGTAACAGATGCTTGCATTAGCCTGATGACCTAAAAGATCTGCACATTTTCCTCATTCCTTTTAACTAATCAACCATTTACAGGGTTCATTAAAAACCTGGAAAAGTCATGGAAATTCAAAATGCTAATTCCAGGCCCTAAAAAAGTTTTGGAAAACAATATTTTTCCCAAAGTTTTGGAAAAGTCATGGAAATGTAACTAAAGTTGCATCAAATATAATTTATATTTTATGTAATCGCCGAAATAGTAATACTATAATGATAATAAATACTGTATTGTATAGTAATGAAACGTAAAATGGTATTTAACTGTCGAGGTATTTTGCTGGTGAGAGATTTTAGTTGCTTTCGCGTGTAGAAACTAGTAAGCCTATTTGATTTGTTTTAGATAGGCACAACATGTTTCAGATCTTATTTTCCTGTTCCATGTTAAAATAAACCATTTTCAGTGGTACCGCTGAGAGTAATTTTTTTGGTCATGGAAAATTAGATACATGTAAAGGTCATGGCGAAGTCATGGAAAAGTCATTGAAAATCATTGGTGAAAAAGTGTATGAACCCTGCATTTATCATTACTGCATACACACATCAGAAGAAATCACAGAAACAACTAATGTCATATGCATAGCAACAAAGAGCTACTCAAAGCTCCCTCTCCACCACGATTACTACACTCTCATACACCACCTTGCATCCCCCTTAGCACCAAGGCTCTATCCCTATTCACACCGCACGTGGTGTCAGGTAGTCCACAGTGCCATTATGCTATGCTGCCTAAAAAGAGGCTTGCGCGGGGGGGGAGGGGGGTTGTCACATCAGGTTAGGGGAGCCCGGGGAGTGAAAAATGAGCAATGTATAGACAGAAGCAAAGCCCAGAACTGGAAGAAAAATGGGGAACTGTGGGACTTTTGGCAAGCCTGCATTATGTAAATTGAATCTATTAAATGTAAATGTGGGGCTGGACACATTGAGGTCTAACCCAGAGTAATATTTGTCAAGCCTTCAGCCCTTTCAGGGTCTCTCCTGAGGTTACTAATGGTCATGCAGAGAGCTGTCAAAAAGGAAGTTATTGATTGTCATGCCTGGCCTTTGTTTGCCTTAACACTAAGTTGTTTGGAAGTTTGACTGCCTTGTGCAAGGATGAGTCACGAGAGCAGGCGCGATTGATGAGCTTTATGGGTAGACAGAGCTCTATTGTCATTGCCTGCACCACAGCTTCCGTCAGGGCTTTCTGCTCACCCTGCAGCCTTCTGAAACAAAGGCATCCATGTTTTTACAGGCGTGTTGTTTAGGCCTTGTTTTTCTGACCTTTCTGTTGCTCCAGCACTGACCTCCTCTGCTTGCTGCTTTTGCTGTAGGTCAGATACTTGTTTACTGTAATTGTAATTTAATGGGCTAAGGCATAGAGCGGTTTGGAGCTGAGGCTGGGATCTAGCAATAACTAATGGGGTGCATGGGGCCTTTTCTGCTCTCGTAAGTGGGATCATTACACAACAGAGGTCATTTTGTTGTTTGCCTGTCTTCAAACTTCTTCAGTACAAAGGTTCTTTTTCATATCAGTTGTATATTTTTACAATGTCTCTTGTAGAAATACGCCTTTGTGAACAAGTGCACACACAAGAGGATGCATTGTTCATTAAACTGCAATAAAGTAAGGAGCGGGAAGGATGATGTTTGGTTGTTGTGGTAATGCTACATAACAAGGCAAAGACATTTTCAAATTCAAAGGGGTGTAGGAGGCATAAAAGTCCACCTTTTGGACCAAATAGATTATTTATTTATTTTTAGATCCTGGTTTAGCGTGCATCACTTCAGCTATTTAGCACCTAACAGAAAGAAAGCAGGCTAAGCTGATGCAATGTAGTGTTGCAAGCAACCAAATAATTCAAATTCAAATGGTTACCTAATGATGCCGCTACAGAAAGGTCAAGGGATCTCTAAAGCCTGTAGATGTTCACCTCTTAGTACTTCATATACTTATAGTTCAGTTCACAACCATCCATTCAATAGTTGTCAAGATATGTCATTCAAATCTGAGCGGCAAAAGTTAGTCGGATTGCGAACATTTACAAATGTACCAAACAGTTAAGATATTTCACTCTTGTATGGCTCTCATAAAACAAAGCAGATTTTGCCATTGCCATGGAAACAGGAGATTGCATCACTGGTTGCTCTTTGCCTTCACCTCCCTCTCCTTTGCAGGAGTCTCATTAAAGAGGGTGATAGCGTCTGTTGATTTGGATGTATATAAGCACTTGTGTGCTGAGAATGAGTTAATCAGATGAACACATGATTAGTCATAGGTTTGTATCAATAGAGACTGTAGTAACGACTAGAACAGAGATTATCAGCTACTGTGTGTCATTAGAGTCTAACCAAAGAAGAATGATTCAGCTGTTAGTTCATCGTGACTGTGATGCACCTCAGAAGGTCAAAGGTTCAAGCTTTGCTTTCTTTGATCAAGAAAGCTGTGTACACATGCAGCATTACCTCCCTGGACAATTAGCTCCACCAGCAGGTCATACTTTTCACTTATGAAGTATTTCAAAATCTACTGAACTGATATGATTTAAATTGTATACAGACATTGATGGTTCCCAGACAATGAAGGGCTTTTTAACTTTACATGAGGATGAGATTTGTAGTTATTAACAAAACATTTCTAAAACAAATGGATTGATTGCCATGACATTTGCTTTAGACTTTTGTAACCCCAAAAGAAGAATTGTGAGAAATTTAGTGAAATCCTAACTTTATAATGTAGTACCATCATCTGTTCAGAATTTCAGTTTGGAAATTTGGCAATTTGGCAATGACCAAATATGCTACTTTTCATTCCCATCAGTTCAGTCTTTGTTTTTACTGCTAATTAGCTAATGTTAGCATGCCAACACACTAAAATGGCCAACATGGTAAACATTGTTTGCTAAACATGAGCATGTCAACATCTTTACCACTAATATCAAATCAAATGTTTCTGCGTTTATAATCGCCGAGTTAATATTCTTGTAATACCAACACAAAGTCAGACTTGCATTTTAGATTTTCTAAAGGGAACTGTCTTTATTATTGTACTTCTCTTTGGGAGCTTCATAGCTAAAGCAAAGCAGCTTTAAAAAGCTAGCTTCATTTCCTATTTAAATATAAAGGAAATATCAGTTCAATCCCCGCAGTTTATACCCAGGATGATTGTGAAGAGCCTTTCCGCGTGATAGGCCGGGGCCCCACGCTTTGCTACGCTTATGGAACTGAATTCTGTACTAAAAAGAAAGTAACAACAGGCTTTATACTCAGGAAAGGGCTGTAAAGATGCCTCTGCTGCACAGTCCCAGTGGGGTATAAAGGATTAAATCCTTCAGCCGGACACAGGCCTGTCAAAACAAAACACAACAAAACCAGCTTTCAGAGCTCTGGACATCCAATCAGCAATCCCCTCAAAGGAGGATGTCGGAGAGCCGGAGGCGGGGTTTGCTCTGCAATGACTGCTGCCTTGGGTGTTGTACAGTTTGCCTGGAGGCAATGCTTTGCTATGCTATGTTGTCCAACAAATTGTGATTGCTGCACAGAGGATTAAATAGTTGTTATCCATACTTTACATAATGTTACAGCTTTTAACTGTCCAATTTTCAGGCTGTTCCAATGACGATTTGTTCCAAGAGACAAATCGTCACATCTTTGACAAAAAGACAATTGACATAAATACATATGCTAACGCCTGCTTTTATTATTTCTTCAGGTCACAGAACTGAACGAAGCGCTATCCAATGAGGAGAGGAACCTGCTCTCTGTGGCCTATAAGAACGTGGTCGGGGCAAGGCGTTCTTCCTGGCGCGTCATCTCCAGCATTGAGCAGAAAACATCGGCCGACGGCAATGAGAAGAAAATCGAGATGGTGCGGGCCTACCGGGAAAAGATCGAGAAGGAGCTGGAGGCCGTCTGCCAGGATGTGCTCAACCTCCTCGACAACTTCCTGATCAAGAACTGCAACGAGACGCAGCATGAGAGCAAAGTGTTCTACCTGAAGATGAAGGGCGACTACTACCGCTACCTGGCCGAGGTGGCCACGGGGGAGAAGAGGGCCGCGGTGGTAGAGTCCTCCGAGAAGTCCTACAGCGAGGCCCACGAGATCAGCAAGGAGCACATGCAGCCCACCCACCCCATCCGCCTGGGCCTGGCTCTCAACTACTCCGTCTTCTACTACGAGATCCAGAACGCCCCGGAGCAGGCGTGCCACCTGGCCAAGACCGCCTTCGATGACGCCATCGCCGAACTGGACACCCTGAACGAGGACTCCTACAAAGACTCCACTCTCATCATGCAGCTCCTACGAGACAACTTGACGCTCTGGACGAGCGACCAGCAGGACGACGAGGGAGGAGAGGGCAACAATTAAAGGGTCCGAAACCTCATTCTGCCAAAACAACACAACACGCGCGCTCACAAATGATGACAAAATAATAATACTAGTTAAAAAATTCTTAGAAATTAAAAAAGAAACGGGAGTGGGGGGAGGGGTTGTTGGAACATTGGAGGCCAATTTAGCAGATGGTACTAACGTGGCTGCTGTTCTTTATTTTTCAACAAATTAAAAAAAGTTGGAGGGAAGACAATTTTGGTTTGAGTAATTACCTAGGATTAGATACAAAGAATAAATAAAAGAAGGAAACCCCCTCCTTGGTAGCCTCTGCAGCACTTGCCAAAATACCACTATAGAAGCAGGAGGTGTGTCATTCATCGCAGTGTGACTATTGGGTAACGATACCTTCACACTGGCAGAGACTGGTCTTATCGCGCAGATGAAGCTGAGCTGTCTTATTGTATTTGGTGAGCGGAGGAGCATTCAGAAATTCGGTTTCGATGCTTGAGCAACCAGAAAATTAGAGTCACCTCGAATGTAATGGCCTTGCTTAGTGAGAGAGAAAGACAAGGGAGGAAGCGGGTGAGAGAGCAGAAGGGTTGCAGAGATGAAGACTGAGCTTTTTTAGGGGGTGTCCAACTTCATTGTGTAACTTCAAATACGCACCGACATCTTTAGTTGCACCACAATATGATCGTTGAGTGAAAAGCAGGTTGTCTCTGTTGATGAAGATGACATTAAAAAATGTTTTTGTTTTGCTTTGTGTCAGGTATGTGTCCAGCGCAGTCATACTGTAACTATAAATACAAATTGATGAAGTAGTGCAGCGTGTCCCTCTCATGTGCTGATGTGCTTTATTAAAGAAATTAACTGTTTATCGACACCTAATTCTTATCGTCAGTATTTTCATTACTATACCAACTTCTATCGGCTCCTTGTAGGAAACAGTTCCAGATAGCAAAGTCAGATAAATGGACATTTCAAAAAAGAATGTGGTGATTGAACATTATCATGATTCCACCCTTATTCAAAACACTCAGTTGGATCTCTGAAACGGCACCTGAAACTTTTTGTCCACAAAGTATAATTTGTGGACAGAGCACATGCAATGTTAAGTGGAAGCTCTAAAAGCAGATTTGAGGTTTGTGGATTTACTTTGTCTCCAGTTTCTTCTTGGTCAAGAAATGCACTTGCCTATTATACTGTTTCTTCAGTGTAAGATGATAACTGCTCCAATATTCTCCATAATACAATATTTTGCATGCTGGTGATGTATTTATACAGTAGCTTCAATTGATTAACTTATACTGTAGATGTTATGTATTCATATGAACATGGAATTACTAGACCTTAATCGGATTATTTTCTATTTATTTCTTTTTATTGCAATTGTTAGCTAGACCTTATTTTAATCTTTGTTTTCTTTACTCCATTTGCTGAAGTACGCTATACCAAAACAGTGATTGTTAACAATAAATTGATCTGTTAAGGACATGGTTATGGTTACATGCAATTTTTGGTAACGGTGACACAACATGAAGTAAACATTGACTTGTGAAAGAGGCAGTATGTGTGCTAACTGTGGACACAATGGGAGTAAAGCAGCATCATATAGCGTTACAGTCTCAGGTGGTCTGTCAGTGGTTAAACTTCCAGGGCAGTACCAGAATCTAACTTCTATAATTAAAATGCAATTGAACAGTAAAACAATACAAACCACACAATTATCTTATATATATTCGTTTTACAACAGAAACAACTTAAGTGCAATGTAAGTATTTTATGACTCAATTCAACTAAAACTGAAAAAATACAACCAATAGTAAATACTTGCCTTTAGAAATGCACTCCATAACACAAAATATACAAATGCCATGCATTCTATTTAAGTAGAAGTACAGAAGTGTTATCGGCAAAATGCATTTAAGTATTGGTGGTACTTTACATTACAGCTTGGTGGTTAGATGAAAGTAATAATATCGGCGTGTAATAACAAAGAAATGGCTTGCTATCAGTATTGGATGGTAATCAATCTAATAGGGTATTGTTGAGTAAAACTTGGGAAACAAATTCAAAGATGGCAATTAGGCAAACATATTTACCAGTTTACAACACAATTGTTATATCAGGGCAATATTTTGATTAGGAATATGGGGAAATTAATCATTATTATAATACCCTCCCAAAAACCATACAAATTTGAAATTGATAATTACAATATCATAATGCTAAAATCAACCCTCCATTAGTTTCCAAACGTTCCTTTTTGTTTCAAGGTAATAATGGTCAAATGTGTTCAATGTGTGCACTCGTCACCGGCTTTGTCTTCAATATCAGGATACATGTATGTATCATCCTTGCAAGAATGGAAGTAGTCATCACACACAGGGCTGCGTGGGACAAATAGTTCCCTGAGTAGAGTCCTTGATATGCTTATATACAAGAGAGGGCGTTACAGTCAACAAGATTGAAGAATACTGGTTCAAAGCAGTATTCTGACATTAGTTAAGATTAGCTAAGGCCTTCGTAAGCAATAAACATGACATTCATATGTCTTTCTCTAGGGGCTGTGTCATCATGCCAATCTTAGGAACATAGCTATCATAACTTCAACACAGTGTCTCATGAGTGTCATCCATGTAGTCATACATCCGGCTATGTACACAGCTAGGGCCTCTGTTATCATGTGCTACTCTGATATGAGAAGAGTACATTCAGTATTTTCCCAACAAAATGCTATGTTAAATACTGTGTGACATGTTTATACAGTACTACCTGGTTCCAAAGGAAACATTTATTGATTGCTTTCATCGAAGTAACAGCTTAGAAATGTAGGACTATCCTCTAACATTGTGTAAAAAGCAGTTGAGTAACTCAGACAAATTACTTTAAAAACAGGAGAAAACTACTTTCAAGAAGTTCAAGAGCTGCTTAAAAACATTACATAACATGCCTGTAGAGGCTTGAGACATCCATTGCTTGAAGTTTTAATGAACAGAGAAATTACTAGACGTGGTTGAAGTGTTATGAATAGAACTGCCATGTATTTCATAAAACACTACTGTCACCTAGAATAACACAGGAAAAAACTATTGCTAAACACACCGCAAAAGGTAGGTATAATGTATTTTATGATGCTCAGTGTCAATTAAAAACAAATATTGAGTACATTTCCTGCACTATTATGTGATGGCTTAACAATTGATAGACAAAGCAGCAGATAATAGTTGAAGTTTGTAAAATCATGTAGGGTGTTCAAAACAGATTTACAAAAATAGAAGACAACAGTAGTACGGCTGTCCTCCAATGAAATACCCAGATATAGATCTTAAATATACTGCACGTATCTTTAATAAAACCGAGTCGACAACTATAGCAGCCTATAGCTGTTGTTGAATATATTCAATTGTGGAGGGAGTATGAGATGACTATTGATGTCAACATTCAATTAAAGAGGAAATAAATGATGAAATGTCAATGTATACGAGTGGAACAACATAAATAGCATCAGCCTTGATGTCAGAATTAACAATTAAATCCATTAAAGCCACTTTGTAAGATGTGCATACAACTTCTTATCAATATCAACTATACAACCATGCAAATTTTTCTATGTAACCTCACAAGAGCTAACCACAAAACATTAATTTTAAATAGAAAACAAACAGGACCATCCATAATGAATAAAAAGTTGATGATCACTCGGCGGGTGCAACAATCAACACAATCAGCATCAGAATAAAACCTTACCAATGAAGACATGGGGCTGTGTAAACAGTATAAATCTAAAGGGGGCTACACAGTTGTTGCTAGCCAACGCAATGGTTGTGCTCGAGAAAAGAGTGGAGTGAATGTTTTGTTGTAACTCACCTGTCTGACCGGTATTCTGTAGGTCTTCTTGTCCACCAAGTCCTGCTCAGTCTGCTTTGGGTGCAGCTGCTGTTATTTCCATTCCTACAGCAGAATAAAACCATTCTGCTTATGTTCTCTTTCCCACTGCACTCTTTAATTCAGAATGATTTGAGCTGAATGAGGCTCTGCAGTCACATCAGGAATCATGGTCAAAAACAGCAGAAAGGCCTCAGATCATATTAAAGGTCCCATGTCATGCTTTTACGGTTATTACCTTGTGTCTTATGAAGGTTTTTCTGCATGTAAACGGCCTGCAAAGTCACAAACCCTCAAAGTAAACCCTGTAGTGAGTACAACTCTAACACAGAAAATACCTGTCTATGCTGCCCCAGAACGCCTCGTTGGAGATTTTTTTTTTCCTGAGTATAGTGACGTGACCATACCCAGGTCCAAATGGACCAATCTGTGGACGTGGACACACACACACACACATCTTTTCTCAGCAGCGGCTCCGAGGATTTCTCAGCCTGAACTCAGCCTGAGACAGCGAAACACAGTTTGTGTGTGTGCTCAGGCTGGGTTCCTTGGTTTCTCGCTGTCTCGCAGACGCCCACGCAGCAACCAGGAAACGACACACCAGTAAAGCCAACTCACACTGTCAAAGCAGTCGGAGCGTAGCAGCAGCGAGCCCCGCAACGTCCCGCCAACACGGCACCCAGACCCCCGCAGCATTCTCATCTGTTTGTCATTATTACTGGTGTCCTTTTTCTGGTTGCTAACAAACGTAACAGGTTAATCAATCCGTTTGCAGTCAAGACATTCTGTGTTGATCTTGACAGTGGCAGTGTGGTGGACCATTGATTTTTCATGTTTATAAAAATAGGAGCAACACACATTTCATGGGTTTTAACCCACTAAGTGTCGTCCCGCATACACTTAATGAGAAAAAGCCTTCACAGACCACAAAAACACTGCCCTTCAAGTGAAAATGTTTGCTAGGCTTTCCAAAACCTTTCTCACCCTGTCACCTGGTTTCTTGGCCAATCAGGAAGAGCTCTTGGGAATTAGTGCTACTTTGACACATTACACTATTAGGAATGGGTGGAAAAGGCTCCATGG